AGACTGATACGAAAATGATCTGTACCGCAGCTGATGACAATTTTGCTTGGTAGGCCAAGGCCAGGGTGTCAGTTCCTGGCTGGGCGTGAATGCCTGCGCTATCTAGCAACTGTCAGAATGACCTTCTCCCAGGAACTCGCTGCCATACAGGCCGTTGGCATGGGCACAAGTATGCTGAAAATGGCTGGCGACGCGTTGAGAGCTTCGACTGCGATGGTTTCTCCTTCAGAAAGCAGTCAGCCGGCCTTCGCCTGAGGCTCTCGGGTGGGAGAGGCCGGCCCGGCTTCGAGGATTCTTCTGAGCCTCGCGTCCGACATGCCAGGGATCTCTCCGAGGCCGAACTGGGTCCTTGGCCGAGTTGAACGTTCCTCAAGACCTTAAGACTTCAGCAGGCACTGTGCTGCCGCTGCAGGTCTCTGGCCGAGTCTGTGGAGTGGCAGGAGCTCTGGATCCATTGCATGCGGCAAAACGTAAACAAAGGTTGCTCGCTCTTGAAGGCACAACAGGCGAGCGAACCCAGTACCGAGATGAAGACCTATGTGCTTCTTGGCGCGGACGGAGAAGAACAGGGGTTGAAAGAATTCGTTAGCTCCCTTTGACGTTGCATTGATGGATGGCATTCACATAAAAAGTGCCCGCTGCACCACCTTGCCTAAGGCTGTGCGAATCTTATTTGTTTTGATTTAGTCAAATTGCGGGGAGTCGTGTCTTTTTGTGTCAAGTGTGTCTTGGGCCGGAAGACTGCGGAGGAAGGGCGAAGGAACACCAGGCTTGAGACTCATTGCCACCCTGAATAGAGTCGTTCGGGTTCAGGAATTTCAGGGGTGACAAAGTTGGTTGGAGTTGGAGCATCTTGCGCCTTGAGGATAGTCCGAGTTCGCCGACCAACGCCCCAAACCCAAAACGGACCAAAGGCGGGGAAAAAGCCGACATGGTCCACACACATGTTGGTTCGAGCCACACCCTTTCACGCGACAGAGCGAGGCTTTGGGGCCCCCTTCATTCTTCAATTCTTTGACCCTTGGCCCTTGGTATCAGGGCTTCAGGCCCACCCACACACACACACACACAAGCGCCCCAATGCAGCGGTAGCAATCAGTGGTTGATGCCAAGTCATCTGCAATCACACCAGAAATGCCAGACATGACTTGTGAGCTGCCAGAACATGCAGCGAAACATGTATGCAAAGAACAGATGAAACATGCGCCACTTGAGCTGACAGTGTATTGGCGGGCTGTAAAACTTAGGCACCGCCCCATTTTCCGTTTCTTGCAGCTACACACGCACATGAGTCTAGCCGGATGGACTTGACTTATATAACATGCGAACAGCGGCACATCTGAACATGAAGCGGCACATGCCGACGTTTCACAAAATAAATTCAAAATGACTTACATGAAGCGTGGTGAACAAGTTTCCAAACACGACAAAACACACAGCGCCGCGGCAACGGTGAGATGAAGACGGCCCAGAGAGTCAAGACGGTGAAATGAAAGGGTGATGAAGAACAAGAACCTGGAGGAATTACCACCCTCATCCGCTTCTTTGCGCACCCAGCGTACTGGGTCGCCTGATTCGCGGGGGGATGCAGGAGTTGAGAGCTGGGTAGGTTCAGGAGGTGTCTTCTGTCGACAGTGCATGAATTTGCTGATGGGGCAGTATACTCCAATCGACTACGTGCTGCTCTCCCCCCCGCGCACCCGCGCAAGCCTCCCTCCCCACCTACCGCACCCATACCAAAAAGCAAAGACAACGAGAAACAACAAGCAAAACGGCAATTTCAACGGGTGCAGGGCAAGTGGCAGCTGCGAACGCTCATTCCGTGCACTTGACAACTGTGTGGTGGTTCGGCCTGGCCTCGGTGCCTTCAAACTATGTTAAGATGGAAGCGGCGAACTTATCGACCTCCCTCCAGGCACCGCTTCCGGGGAATTTTCCCCTGGCAAATCAGTCCGAAGGCTTTGTCAGGTTCAGTACGTCAGCAGACAGTAGGCAAAGATGTCAAATGCAACATTGAGCACAAGACTTCTTACCACACGTACCAGCTCCGCCAATCCCACCGTCATGGCGGCTTCGTTATGTGCTTCAGCCGGAGCAAAGTCTGCTTGCAATAGGATTCCTGGCAATCGCGGGGCCAGGGTGCTTTTTCGGGTATTTGTGAGACATGCATGCATTCATGTATCCGCTTGATGTCTGCACTTTTTCCAACGTGTGATCGTCAGCTTCGGGGGCATGAAGTAGGCGATGTGCTATATGTTGAGGCAGGCACGGCCGCCTGTTGGGCATACTGAAGGGGGCCTGGATCCGGAGGCCAGCACATCAGCAGAGCAGCTTTGAGAAGTGGCGTGGCCTTCGCCAGGAGAAGCGACTGCAATCCCTCCTGGAAATGCGCACACCAGCTGCTACAGGTAGGTGATGCGCCCGAGACGGACGGTGTAGTACAACTGCGGATCGGCGACAAGCAGAAAAGCTGAGTTTGAGAGTCTTGGATCGGCGATGGAGTTTGACCATGCAAAACACGTGAGACTCGCTTGGTTCAAGTCCGAGTTGCCACAATGCCGAAAGGCCCAAGAGTGCCGCCTTTCACACAAATCCAAGCAGAAAGACTGCCCGACTTTGAGAACTGAACAGCCGCAATCCTAAGTGATCGCATGCCCGGTGGTTACCTCGTCACGGTTTCCTCTCGACATTCGTAGAACACTGGCGCAGACGGACTTGTATGGTCAGATACTGGTACTCTACTCGGGGCGGCTTTACAGAGCCTCGCCGAGGGTCTCGCCTTGCTCGCGTTCACTCTGTTTGACGAGTGCTGTGATAGGGCCACGCATCTGTCACAAGATGGGTGCGCGATGTTAGAAGCTTATGTGCAGACACCAGTCCTTGTCACACCGAGGCTTTGCCCCACAACAAGCATGTGAGCACCAGCACTAGCACGCACTGGCATGGCGGGGTGAATCCAAAACCCAACGAAAGAAAGAGAGCCAGTTTTCGAAAGAGGGTCGAGTCGGAGGCCACAGGAGGCGTACAAGGTTCGGTTGTTTCGCTAAGTGTAGAGTAGCAACACGCTTGACAGCGCCGCTAACGATGAAGGTTCGGGGTTGAGTGGCAAGTCAAGGTTGTGGAATCGATGTTGGTGTTTGTCGTTGAAAATACCCGGACCCCGTGCACTTTCATGATGTATCTAGATGACCCTTGTAGACGAAGAACAGTGCAAACGTTTCACTCGCTTACAACATTTGGTAAAAGACACAAAAGAGTGTTTCGCACGCTGTGTTTTGTCACACGTGCATACCACGTAAATAACTGGTTGACAGCCTCAGCCACGTGGTCACTTTGGTAGGACAATTAGGCAAAGCCTCTCGCCGCCATAGTGCCCATCCGTATTCCCTTTCTGCACACTGTTCCACGTGACACTTCATATTTCGAACTCTTCACCTGTGGATGCAAGCAAGCGAATTCAATCGGAGGAACACCCATCCACTTACCAGACACTTCGTCGGTGTACTCTGACTTGAAGCAGGAGTTTTGCGCATCCTGCTGCCCATGCCTGTGGTCTAGAATAGTAGCCCGAAAAGAGAGAAGGCTACATGTTCGCATTAGGTGGGAAAGGTTTCTGCGTAGGATTCTGATACGGTGGTTCCGCTTCGGGGCTGACCTTCTTCAACTTCGCAGATTGCCGTATCGATACTTCCGCCCTTGGTTCGTGGAAGATTACATTGTTCCGCGATACTATCCCGAGCCAGGTATCTTGCTGCACGCATCTCCGCTACGGGCGTCGAGGTGCACTCCGCAAGGTCTTTCAACTAAACCTAGCCAAACCTCCCGAACAACCACCCATATCCTTTTGGCACCTGGCCTGAAACGAGGGGCGGGTTGATCTGGTTGTCCAATAGGCTAGGCTACGGAGGCTGTTTCGGAAGTACAGCAGCTTCGTCTTGCGAAACTAAGGCTTCCAACGATTTCATGGATTCTTTTTGTTCGGTTGAGTTCCTTCGCGGTTAACTCCCGGGCATCCCCAACTTCAAGACGCAACAACAGCACCATTGGCCAGTCCACGTGCTGCAACTACCTTGGAACATCAACTTGGACAAAGTCCATACGAATCCTGCTTCAGTTCAGGGCATTCAGAAGTCGTTGGCAAGCCACACTTCCCGCACTCTACGGCTCAGACCGCCGGTTTAGGCATTGGGTTCTTTAGGCTTGCCACCTTCGTCCTCGGCCTATAGACCTTCGCCAGGCTTGCCACCAGTGCCTCAACTTACACCCTGACTAGGCCAGCCACTGTGCCTCGGCTTACATCCCGGCTAGGCTTGCCATCAGTGCCTAGGCGCATTTCTCCGCAAAGGCTAGCCACCTGTGCCTATAGGGTTATAGAACCCGGCTGTAGGATGTGCAGTGACTTTAGAGATTCTGTTCGTCGCGTCGCCGCTGCCGACACCCGGCAACAGCGGTCGGATCACGTCTTTGGCCGGGGACCGCCAATTGCAAGCGGTCGGAGCAGCGACGGGCGACGCCGGTCTGCGGTGTTGAACGTGTTTCGCGGCCTCTTGACTGTGTTTTCTGCCGTGGGAACCGGCCCTGAAGCTGCTTTCGATCTCCTCACCATTCGCCAACGCGAACTTGAAGGAAAGCCACAACTTGCTTGGTCAGGAGCTTCGCACTGTTATTGCCGATCTCGTATCAGAACCGGAGCAGCTGTATCCACGTCGCGAAAGATCGCGTATTGCACCTCGCCCCTCCACAGCATCAGAAAAATCAATAGATTATACTGATGATAGGGTTGCTGAGTCCGCAGGTTGCTTGCCAAGTGAAAGATCCCTGGCTCCTCAACCCCCTATAATTATGTCCGTCTCGAGCGCCTGGACCTTTGCCGGCGCGTGACTCCATTTCGAGGACGACAGTTTCCCAACAACTCGTGAACCGTAGTCGTGAGCGATCAACTGAGGGAACAGCAGATCAGTGGACGGCAGAAGAGTGGCAAGAGTGGAATAAACAGGTGGATGAGTCAGTCGCAGCATCGCCTTCTGAACCATCGGAAACAGAGGGCGCACCTGGGAGTGCTTTTGATGGATCGGCTGACGCGTCTGGACACGTTTTTGCTTGGCTCGGTTGATGCACCTGGGCAAGCCGTTGATGGATCGGTCGATGCGTCTGGGCACGCGTTTGATGGGTCTGCCGACGCGTGTGAGAACGACCTTGATGCTTTGGAGCCGCCCAAGGCACTTCTCGCGCTAGATGTACATGGCGTGTGTGGCCTATCGTTTGATGACACGCGGCATCTACTCAGCGAGTTGGAGGCCCAGATGCCACGCACCGTTTCATTGGAAACGCTCGTGCTGTCGTACAGTGGCCACCAGCGAGGACTGCAGACGCGCGCCAGGCTCCAGATCGAGCTGCCTGACCTGGAGGTCTTTATTTGCAGGGGCCCTGTTGAAAGGCTGACGGACCGAACCATGGCGAAGTGCATTGCTTTACCGTTGGTGCTTACTGCCGCGGAATTTTTGGCATGCGAATTTTAGAGAAGGTCTCCAGTGTGCTTGCTCGTTTTTTCCGCCGGCGCTCAGAACCATCATTTTGCAGGGATAGGGTTATCTCAGGGCCAGTGCACGTCACTCCAGAATGATGCCTGGAACGAACCAGAATCCTTCAACCTGGTGATCCTTCTCACAAAGGTCGCTGGAGGCGGTATCTGGATTGAAGATCCCGAAGGCAACTGAAATTTGCCTGGTAAAATACTTGAGCTTCCAGCCTTCAAAGAAACACCGCACAATTCCTTGGGTTGAGCCCCGAGGGACGAGAGTAGTTGTTGTAGCCTTCAGTCCAAGAGGCCTGGATCGGCTGTCGTGCTTCGACTTGCGTTTTCTGAGATCGCTGGGATTTAAGCTGCCGCGTAGCTTAGGTATCTGACTCTACTTCGTTAGCCCGATAGTGTAGCGTTTCACGGTGTCTTCAAGGGGGAGTTGAAAATACTCGGACCCCGTGCACTTTCATGATGTATCTAGATGACCCTTCTTGATGCAGAACAGTGCGAACGTTTCACTCGTTTACAACATTTGGTTCAAGAAACAAAAGAGTGTTCGCACGCTGTGCTTTATCACATGTGATCACATGTGTATACCACGTAAATAATTTTTGTTGTGCTATTCGTGGACTAATCTAGGATGAAATTGAGCAATGCGTGGCATCATACTTCGGTCGTGACTAGCAGGGTCAACAAAGCATCACGGCTGGCGGGTAGCTTTTTGTCACAATAGCTGCGCAGAGACATGGGCTTGGAAAGGGACGACTCAGCGGTGGCCCTCCGCCATCCACTCTACGTGGCCGTTCAGAACACGCACAAACACGAACTACCAGCACTTGAAGCATGAACTTAGGATCATGCCCGGCACTTCCAGACATGTGAGACCTGCAACCGCCTAAACTTTCTTAGTTTGGACTCTGGCCACATGCTGGAAGCCATGCAAACGGCTTCGGTAAAACATGCGATGTTTCAGTCAAACGCCACAGAATTTGAAGAAACGCGTCATCTCGACCTCGTGTCTTTGTGATGGATTCACGGGAAGCTCCGGATTCTTGCTGATTTGGCTCATCCGGCCCTCGGTGCAGATCAGGTGATGAACTTAAAAGATGACGTATCAATCAAGAGATTTGACCACGCCTTTAACGTCTTTGGGCTTCTAGGGCCAGGGCGGGGTTTTTTTGCATTCGACACGGGCAGCTCGAAACAAAAACTGGGTGTGTCGAGTCTAGTGCTGCGTACGTACATGATGTATTTCAGCATATGCGAAGGCGTGCAAAAGCATTTGCTGGCCTGTGTTTCTGCCCCGGGGCGTGTGGCATTGTGTCCCATGGCTTCACAACATGGCTGCAGCCTGCTTCAGCTGCGGTAGCAAGACGAAGGCTGTCTCGAAGCGTTCGGTGCAATCAATTCACCTATCCCGGTGATGTTCTCTTCTCAACCGTCTGCTCAGCTTAAACTTAGCCCATCGAACACTTTCTAAACACATCTTTTCGTCCCGTGCAGCCGACCACTAATAAAGCTTCGGAGAATCCCTTGCAAAACTTTGCAGAGCTTGTCTTGACCCTTTCCCAAAGGCCCGCTTAGCAAGGTTATTCTTTACTTGTGACTCCGCTGGTCTGCCCTTGCAGCTTTTGTCACGGAGGCATCGCTGCTTTTACTGATCATCCTTCTTCCGGATTTGTCCTGCTGCAACGAGCTCAGCAACTCGAAGCCGATTCCGGCTGCCGCTGTGTGGCTAGCACTGAGGTGCGGCAAATGAGGATGACGCCTTGGCTGAGAGCTATGACAGCTATGACAAGTGTGCAGATACTCGGACAGGGTCGTCCCGTGCCTAGCGGTGACTGTTTGAGCACCAGTTCTTGCCCGGGAGGGACGTTTCATTCTCGTGCTGGTGCATTTGCTGGAGACGTCTTGAGACGTTGAAGACTTCCTGAGGTCTTGCAGTGAAACTCGCAGCCGGAGGTCGCCCGTGATTCGCGTCTCCGTGCTTGTTGGTGTCTCATGCATGGTCCGTGGGCAAGTTTTGGAGTTGCCAAATGCAGGATTAGAAGTAGTAACGTGAACGCGACACCCGCGAGAATCGGCTCGCCACAACCTTCAATTTGTTGGCAGCGGGATGGACAAGTGCATGGCACGGTCGAAGGCCATGGAGGCATGTCCTCCGTACTTTTCCACAGCTCCGAGGAGGGGAGGGCCATGTGGTAGCCGGCCGGGCCTCTTGTTTTGGGAGACAGGCAGAAAACAGACGGTTCACCGGCACAGGGACATGTGACATCCTGCCATAGGGCTCACCCAGAGAATGTGTCCGGAGTCACTGTGCGATTGTTTTTGGAATCACGCGTCTTCGCTTGGTCTTGCACGCGATCTTCGTCCAAGAGCAACAGTTCAGAAATGCTGCTTCCCCTATGCGTATCCAAGTGTGAATGCATGCCACCTCTTGGTTTGTGTGTGTGTGTGTGTCCATGATGCATGGGATGGATTGCAGGCATTGGCCTCACGCTCAGCCCCTAAAGGACAGCCCTTCCTGAACTTCAACTTGTAGTACTGCTACTGGCAGTCCTGTGTCAGATTGCAATGCTTCGGAGGAGGCTCATTTGCATGAAGCCTTGGAGCCTGTTCCCAAAGGTCGGGAGAGTTGTTCACGCTTCGACGAACCATAGTTTTGATTTTGGTGCCGAGTGCCAAGCAATTCCTCAGGATGGAGCAAGGCCAAAGCGAGCGACCCCTACACATTAGCATCGTTGCGTGTAGACTGTGACCTGTTCCTTGGCCCCCTTGACCAGCAAGGTCGATCCTTCAGCAGGAAATGCTGGAATTAGAGCTTTTGTCCGAGTTTGAAGCTCAGAGTTGGGTGCGATATTGATCGGTTTTTTCGTTCCAATCAGTCAGGTTGTATCAGCAACGCCTGAGCATTCTGGAGGACAGCCAGCTTGACTGCCAGAGCCTGACTGCCAGAGCCAGCAAAACCAGTCCATGTTCGAAGGACCTCCAGAAGGGTCTGCAAATGGGGCTGGGAAGACACCTGCCTTCGTCGAATGTCGTGGTCCCAACAGTATGCTGCTGTCAGGCCTGCGGTTGCACACGATTCAAAAATCTGTTGCCGACCTGGTTCAAGCAACCTTTGCTTTCGAGCAGATGAATTTCCCCTTATGAGGATAAGCTGTGGCATGCTTGAGTGACTCGGAGCCGGGAGAATGCACGACCTGTCGCATCTCACGGGCGAGACTTCCGGCAAGCCTTGTCCCACAGCTCTGCAGTCGCCAGGCGGAGAATGGGAGTAACACATGTAAAACCCGTCGGAAGTCTTACATTTTGTTTAGTGTGAGGGTGAAAAACTTGCTGTCCTGGCAACGCAACGTCGCTTAGACATGTTGCTGCAGGAGAGCTTCTTTGTAAAGCTGAAGGCTTCATCGCCAAGCCTTCCTCCACGAGGAGAACTCGGCATTGGAGATCGCTGCCATTGGTTGCAAAGGCACCGGCCTCGGCACCCGCCACCGCTTTCGTTGCCTTGCAGCGTTTAGGGTTGACATCGCGTGCACCTAGGAGTTGGTCTGAGGCCGCGGGTGTCAGTGCATTTAACTCTCACTCTGTCTCTTTCTATCTCTCGCTCGCTCCGCTTGCCCTGCGCGATCAGAATGTGCAGTCATGGTGGTCCTGGGATTGTTGCACAGGTCCTTGGCACCCGTCGAGAGCGGTTGCTGCCTGCTCGCAGAGTCCCCGGCTGCTGTGTTGCAGCTTCAAACCAGCAAGATGGAATTGCTTGCGTGCCAGCAGTGCCTGTGCCCTTTGAGCACCGCAACGAGTGGAATCGTTTGCCAGTGTGGGGAGCAGTTTTGCAGCGAAGCGTGCTACGAGATGGCAAAGCAGCAGGGCCATGAAAGACTGTGCCCGGCACTGTTGGGATCACAAGAAGCATCGGCAATGGAGTCTTTGGTTCACTTGCTCGGAGATTTGCCCAATGTCGGGGAGGCTTTTCGCCTTGCGGTGAAATTGCTCGCCAGAGGAATCACAGATCTACAGCTATTGGACCTCTCTGCCGGTTTGGCTGGAGCACCATGGTGGGAGACTGCAGGCATAAGCGGCCATTTTATTCAAGAAGCTCGGGATGTCACCCAAGTCGCTTTTGTATTGCTCCAAACTGTCCTGACTGACTTGCCCGCTGAATTCACTGCAGACGATTTGGGTTTCCTTGTTGGTCAGCTCCGGATGCGGCTTTTTTGAAATTGGCCCGTGATTGCTGCTTGTACTGTCTTTACTCAGCTCGGAGCGGATGCTGCCCCAGGAATGCAGTCGAGGTGCTTGTGCCAGTGGAGGACGGTTCGAATCACCTGCTTGTGTTTAGAGTTCAGAGCAGGCAGTGGTGCAGCATCTTCAATCATATGACATGTGTGGTGTGCTTAACATTGTTTTTTTTAGTTCCCTGGCGATGGTGGGAGTGAGCTTGTAACACCACAACGCCTCCGCACCAACTAGCAGATGTTGAGCCCCATGTCTGTTCGATGTTGAATGTTTCGAATTCCTTGTTTATTGATGTCTTTTAAAAGCTAAATAAAGGCAGCTCAGAGGATCAGTCACTTCTGGCTTTCCACAAACTGACGCGTCACAAGACCGGTAATTCTCACATTTAGTCCGAACCATGTTGCGCATCAGAAGCCAAGAAGTCGGGCCGTAAAGCTGTGAAGCGAATTCAGCCACAACTGCATCTGTCCGGCAGCTCCAACCTTAATCTTGCCGAGTGAGGGCTCAGTCGTGTCCAGTCAAAGGCAGATTTTCGGAGTTTCAAGCGCCCTGTCGCACCTTTAGATTGCAGGTGTGAGCATCAAACGAAGGCGCTGCTCAAGCATGTTAAAAATCGGTGCCGAGTTTTGCACAGGGGGATAATTGAAACAGGATGCAGATAAGTCTGCTGAGCAATTTCAGGATTTTCAGGGCATGTGCACTGCAGCCCCTGCGCAAAAAGATGTAGTCCTATTTCTCGCAAGGCAGCAACTCAACTTCTTCGGCTGAATTGTGCTCCCTAAGTGCTTCAAGGCGCAGGTTTCGTGCAGGTGCAAGCGTCCCCAAGCGCCTTGAAGCGCCTCTACGCATGAATCGCAGACCTCTATCCGCAGGGTTTGGATTCGGATCCCTTGTGGCTCGTGAAGACTGGCGGGTAGGAAAATCATCACGCCTCTATGTGTATTTGTTAAGCATCATGTTGAATCATGCTTTAAACACCCTTGAGAGATCTAAAACCCGTGGTAGAGGTCTGCGATTGGGCACAATGAAAAGGAGCGCCTTGCTGCTGGTCACAAAGAACATAGTGAGACGCTGAGAAGATTGAAGAGGCGAGAAGAAGCTTCTCCGGCTCGCAGAATAAAGAAGCATCGCTGGAAAAGCGGCTTGGATCGCCTGCCCATCGTGAATCTCGGTGGAAATGTCATGGCAGGGGCACCTCCCTGCAGGAGTTCCATCATGCTGGACACCAGTTTTGCATCTCCAGCCCAGTCGTCAAATGTGGCGTCTCCAACCCACTGTGACCAGCTGATGTGCAGTGTTGCGAAAATCTGTTCTTCTGGGCAGGAACCACTGCTAGCGTCAGATGTGTGTGGAGCAGCTGCGGTGGAGGGGCTGGCCTTGTATTTCGTGGCTTCTGCCGTGCAGCATGGCAGGCAAAGACTTGTCCCAGGTGTGCAGCATGTAAGGGTAGAGTCCGGGTAGAGCATGTGCGCTGGGACTTGGCCAAAGCAAGGAACCACAGCTGCCATCCCAATTGCGCAGGCCTAAGGCACACAACAGATGACAACCGATGACACTACGAATATGGGCAGCTATGCGCGTGAGCATGAAGGAAGTCATCAATCATTTACCAGTAGCTTTAAGCAGCGAGCAATGATGTGCGTGCTTGTGCGTTGGCATGAAAGCAACACTAGTGCGGCATGGGCCAAGGTGCGTTGCAGTCATGCTTTGCATGCCCTGGTCTGCGGGGTTGGGCGGTCCTGCAAGCTTTAAGACCCATCGACGAAGGGGAAGAGGCGAGGTTTTTCTTCTGAAGAAGTTAGTAGCTCGCGCAAGCTGTTGCATACCTGCAACAGGTCACAATTGCATACTTGGCCGCACTGCTGCAGCTCTGCCATGCTTGCGAATAAATGTCGCACTGTGATCCAGTGTGAGTTGTTGGTGCACCCAAGGAAGACGGACCGGAGACATGTGAGCGCTTGTTCGAACAGTGGCGGTTTCACTGCAGCTGCGATTACTGCACATCTCGAGCAGAAGAGAGATGCGGCTATATGGGGTGCAGCTTTTGTCATTTGTTTGTCCGCGTGCTCCGAAGATCTCAGAAGGAAAGAATCGGGACGAATCTTACTTTCAACCCGAACACAAGCAGCAGTGGACCAGCACGAAAGAGCAGCAGCGCTGCGAACAAGCTCGACGAGACGGAGGGAGAGAGGAAGCGGGACCTTGTATGTCCTTATGCTGAGCCGACTCCACTCTGCAACAGACAAACTGCTGCTTTACTACTCCTGCACCACGGGGTGGAAATTGCAGGGCTTTCTAGCTTTGGCTACCTATGTCAAAGAAATAAACAAAGGTGGCCAAACTCGTGACTGCGTGCCTTCTCTTGCCGGTCGTTTTCAACCTTTGGCTTGCTTCTTGCGCCTCCTTCCGGCTGTCCTACAATTACTTCTTGTGTTCTTTTTCAGATTGTACTGAAACCAGGAAGCACGCTAACAAATAATGGACGGAGCACGGCGGGCCGTTATTATTATTTTTTGTTTCTCCCCCCCCCCCAATCTGCGGGCATTATTTTTTTTTGTCCCCAGTCTCAAAATAATAGTGCCTGCAACAAGGAAGGGATGCAAAAACTAATAGTAAAGGCAGCCCACCCCCCAGCCCTTCCCAGCCCCCCTTCCCGGTCCCAGAAATACTCGTGCCTGTGGGGCGAGCGCTCGGCGCCCAGAGCCTTCCCCATCCCCATCCACGGTGTCGAACGAAAAACTCAAGATAAGTAGATTGGGTGCTTTTGTGCGGAGTTGGTGGTCGGTTTGCCTGAAGCATCGGATCAAGTTGTAGTTACTCAGTAACAGTCTTCTGCACTTGGCACTCTTGGCGCTGAAGGTTCGGGCGCTGCAGCAGAGTATGCCTCCACTCTCCGAACAAGTTATTCTCGGAGCTCTGGGCTAAGTCTGAGACGGGAAGTCTTGAGCCAGCAATGGGCAAGTTTCTGCATGACTCGGAGGTGCCGCCTGCTGCGGTGACGGATGAGGACACCAGCATAAGAAGGCACCAGTTTGCATTGCTGAACCAATGCGAGGATTATTCCGACGAAGTAGGAGAATCGGCAGCAGGCCCGGATTCATGCCAAGAACCGTCAGCCTCGCTGAGACTCTTGTGACTTCGTTTCTGAAAGTCTGTTTCGTGGGCACATGAAAAAAGACATGTGCTGCAAGCTGCAGGCTGAGTATATAGAGTCGTAGGAGTTCGGCAATGAGCCAGGGCAGAAATTGAATGTGGTTGTGCCTGTGTCTTCTCTTATCATACTCCAGATTTTGCACGGACCGCAGCCCGGCGTGGCATGTTTCTGGACATTATTGGAGCGGTAGCTTCCGGGAGAGACCCAATGCCAAACTTTTTGGAAAATCCAGCCACTGACTATGGGGCGGCCTGGTTGGTAGCGAATTGAAGGCAACGGCTAGGTCAGATTCGCATGCTGCCACCTTTTACAGCAGAACCTTCTACAGAAAGGCAGTTGTGATTGAACAGCGAGAGCTGTCGACCTTGCTTGGACAAGGTACGAATGCTTCTTGCAGAACTCCACCCCCACATGGCCCGTTTTTGTCTTGTGTTTTTTCGGACAGGCCTGGAATGCCCGGGAGGTTACAATCTTCCGCTACAGAAGACGGGATGCTTTGGATTGAGTGCACTGGCGTGAGGATGAATGAGGCAGCCTCCCAACTCCGGTTGTTGAGGGTCTCCAGTTACAACTCTAGAGTTGCTTGCTGCAGAACCAGAAATCACAATTCCGTTGGTTTGTGGCCGCGGCGAAGTGCTGGCACGTGTTTACAGAAGCAGGAAGTAGCGAGGATTGTTGGACCGTTGGGACGAGAGGACACGGACCCTTGCTTGAAGCAGTGTGCCAACATCGAGATCGCTTATGCGGCGCGCTTTCCGTGATGCCACTACTTCCGCCTAGTGCGACGGCTTTGCTGCGGGCGGGAAGCCCGGGGCCATTTCCGTGAGCCATGCGACTCGCTTTCACATGGGCGGACTGGCACGCGACGCCGGGGGCATTGCGGGGATTCGGGTCTCCTGACCCCTCCAGAAAGGAATCGCACACCACTCTGCTCTAAACTCCGTGGCCCAGCACCTGTGGTGTGACGTGCCCTTTTTTCTTCTCGTCCTGTCAGAATTGCGAAACGTCCGACTGCACTGTGTGTCAAGCTTTTCCAAGAATCCATCTGCCAACAGATGCTGGGCCTCTCCAGGAAGCACGTCGACGGCGACGGCAATCGACGACTTCTTGGTATCCAAAGCAGCGGAGACCTAAACTCACAGTTTGCACACAAGCCCTAGTTTTCGCGTTGTTTGCAGTTAGTTGGCGGATGCTTCAGGTGATTCCACAGGAGTTGGAAGCTGAATGCTTGATGTAGAAAACGCACAGCATAATCACGGAGTTCCCAGTTGCGTGCCATCCAAGACCCCCCGCGACGCACATCGGACTGATGCCGCTGCCGGAGGCCCAGCACCGGCCAGCCCGGTGTGCTCGAAAAACAATCGGAGTGCTGACCGAGGCGAAACCACCGGTCATCAGCCCCAGCTCCAACATCCCAGGCGCCTGTTGCGGAGCAACCGTTAAAGCATCACGAGTAACGCGGATGCCATGCGCATGTGAGGTTGCGATGCCCACCGTACTTCTGGTGGTTGTTGCAACCTTACATGGCTGCTGGGGTCTTGAAACCAACCCGACTGCCACGTGCCGGCTGCTTCAAGATTTCACTTAGAAGTGTAGCAGAGTACAAGGACGAGACCACGACGTGGCACCACAAAACACCCACATCAGCGCAAGACTGCAGACTGCACCTGCACTTGTCTTGCTCCGATGGAGAGCTCGCTGAGCGCCCTGCTCTCATGCCATGACCAGCATTTGATCTTCAATCGCGGGGTGGTGGCCGCTGCTGGCACACGACTGGACCAGGACGCTGCTTTTAGCACTGTTGCGGTTCTCGAGGTTGCATCGAGTCATAGCCATAGCGGATATTATATGGTAGTTGTTATGCAGTGCACCAGGAAGTGTTCCGAGAAGCTGCGTTTTCTTTTGCACCCAGTGGTGAAGGTAGCACAGCAATACGCAGATGATGCTCCACCTGCTTGGCAACAACAGCGCATCAAGCGAGATGGTCAGCATGTTCATATGACATTCCTCAGCAAGGGCGATCTGCAGTTCTTAATGCAGAGCGGTATGGTGCATGTGCAGGCTGAGGTGTGGGAGGAGGCTGGAGCCACAGCACCCGATCCAACAGATATCTTGGCGGTGTCTACCTCGATTGCCCTTATCCTCTCGAAATTGCCGCGGTGCTGGGACTGGGTTGACGTTGGGACGGGCTTCTGCAAGGATGAATGTGGGGAGGCAGTGTTCCGTGTTGTGCTTTGGCCAGCTGCTGCAGCTGCTCGAAAGAAGTTTGGTTTGCCAGCAAAGGATTTTCACATTACCTTGGGCTTTCAAGGTAGCGATGTCCACTCAAAGGCCAAAGGACTCACATCCTTGCGAGCAGCTCCAAGCAACGCCGCGTCACAGTGCTTATCGAGTGAGGCATCTCTTCTGTTATCTACAATTTCTGCTGATCTTCTTTCACTGTACCAGGACAGCGTGGAGCAAGTTATATCTGCAGCGTTGTTGGGTGCAGAAAATGAAGCCTTAGAAGTCGATGCATTGAGAGTGGCATGTTTGTTCTACGGACGAGTACAGAGCTTCGATCAAGTTCTAGCATCGGCGGACCGTTTGCTTCAGCTCCAAAGTGGAGATGCAACGGGCTGTCGAAGCCGTGCTTCTGCTTTGGTCATGCTCTCCCGCTATGAAGAAGCAGTTTCTGCTCTTGAGTTGGCAAAGAGTCAGCTCCACATGTTGCCTCCCGGACAGCATGCAGTCGAGCAAGCCCGTGTATTGAAAGCACTCTCGCACTGTCAGAAGAAGCTGGGCGCCGGCTACCCTGAGCATGCGGGCAGCGCAACGAGTTTGAAAAACTGTCTTGCAGAAGGTGTCGGCAAGGCAAATTACCCAAAGACACCGCATCTTCCCTTTTCTCCGGGCATAAATCCTGACGACACACGCATCTCAGACTGCCAGAAAGTTCTGTCACGAGAAGTCGTCATAACAGAGAAGTTGGATGGCGGCAACTGTTGCATCAAGGCAGATGTCGCAAGGCAGCGGTTGCAGGTTTATGGCCGGACTCACGCACAGCCAACCGAGCACGCATCCTTCTCGGCAGTGAAAGAGCTGGCCGCCTGCATCGAGTACGATGCACTGGGAGATGTGGAAATCTTCGGAGAAAATATGCAAGCCGTACACAGCATCGAATACGGCAACCTCACGAATTACTTCTATGCTGCCCGGACATACACTGGAAAGGACCATGCTTGGTGAGTAGACTCTAAGTAGACAGTAGGCATTTCAACTTTGGAGTTCCGTCACGCCGGCGGCACCCGTTGAGGTCTTCGCGGCACGGAGAAGTGGGGACTGGCTGTGTTGGGACGAAACTCGGAACCTGGCTAAGAGGCTTGGCCTGGCGACAGTGCTTTGGACGAAATGGAATTTGCTTGAACGCTACATAAGGTTGGTGAACAGCAGGAGCTGCCTGACGACACCATACACTGTTGTTGCATAACAAATACCTGTAGCTGCCTTCGGCAGCAGGAAAACTGCAACCAAGAAGCATCTTGCATAGCTGTGCTACTTCCCTACGGGCACTTGAGGCACAGCGCTACATAGCCGGGCAGCAGAGTTACTAGTTCTTTAGTTCCCACAACAAAATGTGAAGGGCTGCTGTTTTTTGCAGTAGCCTCGATTGGGATCCTACGCTCTAGCGCAATGACATCCAATGCCATCAAGACAGGTGCCTGAGGTTTTTCGTGGGACTCTTTCTGACAGAGAACTTCAAGACTGCCTGGAGCAGTGGCAGATGGAGCCGTCAGCACTAGATGCACAAAAGACTCCGGAAGGCGCGGCCATGCTGTGTCTTTGTTCGTCTCTACAGTAGTCCCATTTCGGTGACTCAGCTTGTTTTGCTGCGCGTTCTTCATCAATGCTTCTACAACTGAGTGCAGGAGTGATTTGTGTAGCTTGTTGTTCTTACGATAAAGACACACAGCCGCGAGCAAAAGAGGCAGGGAAGTTTGAAGAAGGTGGTTCTGGCGTGAAATTGCTTGGCAGTTCGTGGTTGATCTAGCTTGGGAGCCGAGGGGGCTGGACTTTGGACAAGAGACTGTCGAGCCAATCTCCAGCGCCCCCCCGCGACGCCAATCAGTGGGCACAGTTGCATTACGGAGCAAACCCCAGTCAACCCCCCAGAGGCATCCAGATGTCAGGAAGAAGCAAGCACGAATGTCTCCCAGGATTCCAGACGGAAGCACTTCCAGTGCATTTCCCAGTGCTCGCGTAGTGCCACGGAGGAACTCCAGCCAGGAATGCCAAAATCTCGAAGAACCCAATCCCTCAGCATAAGCTACTAGACTCCATGCGGGAGTGAGCACTAAAGGCTGTCTGAACGTCAAAAAAAGTCTACCACGCCTGATGCAAGGTTGACATACATGTAAAGTCATGTGGTAGGGAAGAACTGAAAGCGATGGAACTCAAGTCCACATACATCGGACGTGAGCATGCTGCATAATTTCTTGCCACGTGCTTCTGGTTCGGACAACAGATGTTTGTCAGGCTTTGTGGTTAGACATGCAGCTGGAATTCCCGGTGGGTCATTTGCTGAATGTATCGGGAAGTTCGTCCGGGCAAACCACATCCAGACAGACGAGTCGTGGAAACGGACTTGGAAGAAGGCATGCCTCGGCGAAGAGATGCCACATCAGGTAAAGGCAGTTCCCTGTCGCGGGACAAGTTCATGAGCTGAACGTGCGAAAAAAAGCATGCTGCACAGCTTAAGAGCAGCAACGTGCGCGGAACGGTGGTCTTGTACAGTGTACAGATGATGCCTGCTCAAACGAGCATGGTGGCACCAGTTTTTGGATCGCCCTGCTTTTATGTTGTGTCCAGAACCGCACCAAGATTGAAACACATTGTTAAGCTTCATGTTGTGAGAGGCTGCACATCGTCGACGCATTCATGTTGATGTGCAGTTATTGAGTGGTCAGAACGTGTGTCATCTCATGGTGAGGACTGCTTGCGAAAACTTTTTGCTAAGCCTGTCGGCCCGCCACTTCATGTTAAGTCGCCGAGGTTCAAGCGGACGGCGACATTTGTTTGTACACTGCGTTTGCAGCTCAGCATGTGTTGAACTAGTGCGCGAGGGCCATGCAAAAAATCATCGAGGTCTGGAGACCTGGCATTGGCATTCCGGTCTGGGCATAAGCAGGACTCGGTGTTCATCGTGCAGTGCTGTCCGAAAGCTGGTTGGAAATCCTTGAATCGACCAGGCAATTGTGCAAATGGCTGTGTCCCCAATGCAGGCAACCTTGCCAGAAGTTTGTGTCTACCATTGGCGCAGACAGCTTCGAGCAAGCGAATTCTTGCAGGACGAATACGTCGTCGCGACAATGACCTAGTGTGTTATGCAGTTGTGCTGCTGTGCCTCCGAGCATTTCCTGAGTCGCATCCTGCACGTGTAGCGCCAAGGACTGTGGATTCGGCAGGAGTTATGCGTGTACATCGGCTTTTTGTGCGCCCGCGACGCGGCCCACAAGAACAGAGGCATGAAGCTATTGGGGTTGTGCTTCGGTAGCAGTGTTCGTGCAACAGATCGTGGTATGGGTGAGTCGGAAGGGCCGACATGTGCTTCGCTCGCAGGCGAAGGGTCACCAATCCGGATGAAGAGAAGTACGAACCTGCGGTCACTTCTTTGCATGGATTTGCAATCAGCCAGAGGGGCAGCGTGCACGTCATGGAATGCTTCGCAGAGCTTCTTCCCTGCTCAAAGCATATCGCTGCATCCTCAAGTCCTCGCAGACTGCATCGCATTGCCATGGTGGTCAGTCCGGCTTGGCCTGCGGAGATCTTGATGCCCAATGCCGCCTCTTGCAGTAAGAAATGCACAGCATTGTTGATCTGTGTTCCAGGAAGGTCTGGCGGGAAGCTCTGCCCAGTTGCACCCAACCCAGGTACAAAGTCCGGGCAGAGCACAAGACCCAGTGACGCCTCGTCAGCGGAAGCAGGCAGTGGAGGGTGCATTGAGTTTATTGCATTCCTGAAGCCGAACGAAGGGTTTGCCGCGGTTGCTTGTGCAGTCGATTTATGCGTCGTCTTTGTCAATGCATGGCGCACTCGTGGGCGACAAGAAGAACCCTATGGTGCCTCGTTCGCAGACAACAGTGCGAGGATGCTCAAAAGAAAGGATCCCCTGCTCAGACTCCGAGAAATTGGTAGGAAGGCCTGGGCTACCAAGATGGTTATGGCTGCGACTTTTCTACTCTGCATCTGCCACAGTTCCGAACTAACCCTGCAATGCGGGCTCGTCCTTGCTAAGTAGGAGGGTCGCAGCCCTTGAAACCAAACCACACAAGCTTGCAGCTGCTTGCTCGGCAATCGATGGAGGACCCATGCCGGCAAATGCAGGTAAACGGCGACATTGAGAAGGCCAACTGTGTGCTAGCTCATAACAGTTTTCGCATCATGATGACAAACTGTGCTCCGCTTTCCCATCTGTTCCAGTATTTTCGCCTTGGTTCGGCTTACTGCGAAGGCAAGATCGACGCAGGAGGCCAAAGCGCACTTCAACATGCCGAGCCCTCGTGATTGCAAGGCGCGCATCCGCCCTGACGAGCGATGCCTGCGTTGAAGGCCATGTGACTGTGTGCATATGTCCTGGATGAGGCAACCATGCTGCAAGGCACCTTGGCAGTGTCAATGACACGTGGCCAAGCGATTCCGCCTGACATATGTGCCAGAGTGTAACTCAACCATCCGCAGTCGTTCGAAGCTTGTTGTGGTTACTTGCGTGGTACGCCGCATGCCCCAAGATTGTTCTCATGAGACCAGCTTTAAAACCTCTGCTCAGCAGCTTGCCCAGGTAGCGGAGCTGTCCAAGTGACTGATGGATCCCCGTTACTTGTGCAGCAGTCAGAACTGCAGCTACGCCGCGCAGCTACACGAAAGAATACTCGAAACCGCGGAATGTGAGGCGAAAAGGCTATGGATCCCCCAAGAAGAGCACAACTGTGCAATTCTTCATTGACACTGTCCGAGGCTCAGCTTGTAGCACATCGTGACGCGGTGCAGTTTCGTGCAAACGTACAAAAAACCACTGTGGAGTTTTGAGGAGGAGCGTCCTGTGCAACTTGGCCGATATTGTGTCGGGGACTGGCAACCGTTGTCTTGATGACGTGGACGTGCCTCCAAGGCAAGCACAGGCGCACCGCCGCTCAGTTGCACACTCGTGTGCGCAACACCACATACATACACACATACATACATACATACATACATACATACATACCTACGTACATACATATGTCTGTGCACCTGTCCAAAGAGGTGTCGACCTGAAAACCAAGAACGAGTACTGGACGCAGAGCTCCAACATGAGCTCACTGGATACGCGTGGTGAGCTCATTCGGCACAAGGTGCCATCGCCACGGCGTTGCGGTTGCGTATAAGGCGGATTGAAAGCAACAAGCCAGGATGCACGAGACTCCTGGACCCAGCTCAGCTGCAGCGAACTCTCCTGAGACTGACCCACCTGAAGTCAAGTCGCAACAACTATCACGCACCCGCCCGGCATGTTCTGATAGTGCCTGAGGCACGGAAGCAATGCGATATGCAGTCACAAGTGCTCGGCGGATCTTCGAAGCCTTCGCCGCTCGAGTGCTTACTTGTAGGAGTTCGCGATGCGGATCTTTCCCGCCAGCCATATCAGGTCTCAGCATGTGCCCAGACTCGTGGCCCGGGCTGGCTTGTCACCGCGCAATTATTCGCTGCAAGAAATCAGGCCGATTTCGCACCGGATTTTCCAACGAAGTATTTTTTTACTCACTTCGACAGGTTGCCACTCAGCCATCGTGAGCACAAGGCCAATGAGATGTCCACTTCAGAAGAAAGCCAGAGGCTCACTATATAGCCATAGCAAGTCTCACCAGGTTTGTGTCGTTGGCTTGTTAAGCGACACCATCACAAACCAAGGTCCGCTAGGTGCACGCGGGCCTGTGCGGCCAACCAAGTCGATGAGCCCTCGGAGCACTGTGCAAGCATTTCGCTCCTCGAATGGTAAGAGCGAACGAAGTTCGCCGTTGTTTGCAGCCTTGTGGCTGGAAGATTCTTATCTTTGAGGTGACAGCACCAACGATGCATCAAGGCGAAGCAACAGTCAGTTCACTGATCTCAGGACAACACATGTTTTGGTGCAAAGACATGAGCGGCTTGAGGGACATTATTAGTCTTCATGTCAGGAGCTTTGAGATGCATGCGGCTGCAAAGTCGCCTCGGCGCAGTGAAATGTATCTTCTCCGAAGAGTGTGAATTTCAACAAAGTGTGTGATTACGTGATCACGTATTGATGCAACAAACACAAACCTTCAAGAGTGTGACTGAGGCATGATGTTGCGACCACATATTGGGCGAATAGCACCACAGAAATATCGCGCAAAAACGCGCAGCGCCAGCAGAGCCCGAGACCCAGAATCGTTGGTATTGTTGCAGCATGTCGGGCAAGAATTGCATGCCGGGTTTGCAGTTTCAAGTTGATGTGGACATGTGATGACATATGTACTTGGCTGGAAGAGAATCTTGAGGCGTGTGTGTGTGTGTGTGTGTAGAAGCCGATGCCACCGCACCTGATGTCGTTCAGTCGCCCAGCCGCGTATGATTCACGGATTGTTCCAAACTCGAGAGTGCTAAACTGCCTTGAAGGATCCGCCTTGAGCTGCTGTTGGAATGCACAGCTTACATAGGCTTACTGGAACTCATCGCAGCAATGGCATCCCCGAACGATCAGGTGCTCGAGGTTAGCCTGTCTGCGCCAGAGGAGATGAGCCGAAACAATTGGACCCGCACCAGCCCTCTCGCAGTGCGCAATTAGTTCTCCCCGAAGAAGCCCGTTTTCCGTTTAGATTTAGATCTCGCTTTCGGCGACGGCGCGCCCAGCAACAGCTGCAAACTTCAAATTCGCAAGATCTCGCATCACTGCTTTCACCAGCCAGGAAAACCTACTGCCCCGGCCTCGCAGGTGCCTACAAGCGGCAGCCCCCAAACACGACACCGAGAGACCCACGTAGGCACTTGTGTTGGGAAAACCTGTTGGGTCGTAGCGGCTGTGCGCCCCGGGGCTAAGTAATCCATGGAGCCCCAACGCATGCGGAAGTGTTGTTTGCAAGTATAGCAGTTCGTCTTGAATGGGAGGACTTTCCATTGCCATGCCACGCATCAAGACCAAAGCAGGGTTGCACAAACTTGAGAAACACTGGGGAAAGATCGGAAGACTATGTTGTTGTTCCTTTCTTTTTTCTGCAAACCATGCAAGCAGCGCTTTAGTTGAAAATATGGTCCCGCAATTGTGTAAATTGCTTGCACTCAATGTTTGGAGGGTACCTGTACTATACATCTCGGAGGAAGGTCTCATTCATGAAGGCCCACAGGGACCAAGAGCATACAGCCCCGGTTCTTGTCCACTGGAAGCAGATGTGGCCCGAAGTTCGGACCTAGAGGATGGAGCTCGAGATCCGGAGATGGTGCGCCGAGCGCGAGCACTGACAACGTAAGCGCACAAAGGAAACTGGCCGTAGACCCGGTCTAACATGCTCTTGCTGCTCTTGCGGCTCTTGCATCCGCGGCCGGTTGCGCACATTTTTTTGTCACCTCTCACTACGTTGCACGCCGTCCGCTGGTGTCAAAAAGGAAGCTGGGCCAGGCGGGACGCGATGAATTGGGATGAATTGAAGTGTCCCCACCCGAAGTGCATTGAGGACGTGGCGGTCATGTGGATGCAGAGACAGCAGGCCGTTCGCCAAGTTGCCATCGACGCCCAGTCGGAAGCAGACGCACCAACAACCGCCGTTGCTGAGCTAGGAACTCTGATTCACCAATCATCACCCAGGCGAGCCATGAGTTGAGAAGATTTTTGAAGGAGCACAGATGGCATAGCGAGCCCGTGCCACGCAGGCTGTGTGAGGAGAGCGAGCACGACAGAAAGATTTGGAAGGCACCGGGAACTTGCAATGTTTCGACATTTCATTCTGGGTGCTTGCAGGATGAGCGAGTTTGCACATCGCCTTCCACCTACTTCCGATGCATCAACATGTCAAGCAAGTTGCGTGGTTGTCGCAGATGGCGAGGTCCGGCATGCAAACATCCGCAGAAATAGCTCGTCGAAGGCCATGTCTCACTTGGTCACCAAGTCGTGATTACCGCCCAGCACCGGGAGAGGCGGGAGCTTCAATCGAGCAAGTCCATGGGAGACTTGCCTTCTCCAACTATGTCTGCATCGGAGCGAAAGAGAGTTTGATACCCAGCATTTGCATGATGCACTTGCGACACCCTCATCTGTGCAGATGAGGTTGATCTGGCATCCGGCCAAGTTCGCTTGGCTGCAGGAATCCCGTTGAAGAAGCACGACGATGGCAGTCCTTCAAGCTGGCTCTTGACCAAGCCTTGTCATGTCGTGTCATCGCTGGTTGAGTTTTCCTTACACAGCGTGACGGAGCCATATGACACCACGAGGGCATCTCCGCGTTCCATGCGGGCCACGGTGACGCAGCCACCATGCACGAAATCAGCTGTTCGAAACCTTATGTATCTTGGATTGCGATTGTTTGACAGCGATGCGCGTCCGAGCAGACACTGGGAATTGGAGGAACCAGCCGAGCATGTCAAAGTCTTGGCCTCAGCTGCAAAGAAACGGGCTGAGATGCAGGCAATCGGCATGCACTCAACGACGCGTCCTGAGAAGGTTTCGAAACCTGGAGCCGGAATCGCCACAAGCGCGGAAAGTCCAAGAAGCTTGGCAAGCAGCGATGCCCTGGATGCAATGTGCATTCTTCGGATTTCTTCGGTGTTCCTGTAGTCAACGGGAGGAGCCTTGTGGTCCGCTCTTCCTGTGTTTGCGAACGCTTGTGGGCACGGATAAGTGGAGAATACCAGACGGCACGCGAAAAGTCGAAACGTGGTGTCGGATACAGATTGCGCGCAAAACCAGAAAACCCCTAAAGTCAAAAAGCCACGACAAGTCGAAAAGAACAGCAAAACGCGAAAAGTCAGCAAGCCGCGAAAAGTAATAAATACAAAAGTCGAAAACAAAACACTGCAGAATACGAAACCCCAGCAAGTTGTGAAGATCTCAAGTATCTTGGCATAACTTCGAACAGCCAGGGAACCGTCTTTCTTGCGATCCTGCAGCAGCAAATAAGTTCCCACCAAACGCTACAACAACCAATACAAAGCAAGTACTTGCATCCATTGCAAGTGGGAGTCGTGTAAAGTAGGCGAATAATGGCCATCCAACTCGCATGCGCCAGTTGGACGAATGGACAGCATCGAACACAAAGGGGGGACATGCAAAATAAACAGGGGTCCATGAGGATTCATGCGACATCTGGAATTCAATGATTCAATGTTTGCCAGGCATGTATGCCCTGCACCTGACATGCGCTATTCAAGTTAATCTTAAACCGTAGTTGTACTTGTAGGGGAAACGTTGCTGACTTGAGACATAGGACCTCCACCAAGCGTCCTCAGAGTCCCAAAGTTCTTCCCAACTCTTGTAGAGTCACATTGTAGAGCTGCAGGGCCAGAACGATAGGCGGCGAGGCGGCCAAGCTATGCCAGACTGCTCCCGCGCCCAGGAACAAAGAAGCAGCTTCGCACTTCTTTGAGTTTTGCTGAATGGTTTCAGAGGTGTGCCCTGGTAAAGGCCAGAAGCGACCTCGAACCACGAGCAGCGGTGTGCTTCGGTGTAGTTTCCATGGATGCTTAAAGCAGCCATACGAAGCTACATCCGCCTGATCGGGTAAGTAGCTGCGGCAAGTTCCTCTCACAAGTGGCACTATGTAGGAAGCACGGATCAATCCCTTGGCCTGTCTTGGAGATTGTCGCGTTTCTGAATCTCTACACTAGGTGGCGCTGCCTGGGCTCAAAGGTTTTCAGACAGCGGTATCATTATTTGTGGCCTGGAGTAGTTTTCCACAGCAACTAGCGTGTCACGCTTGTGGCTGGCTGCTGATTATTGGTTCTTGTGGACTCATGCTGTAGAGACCTGTGTAACTCATTCAGTCCAGTGCAAGAAGTGAAGCGCAGCATCCACTGCGTCGTTTTAAGAGGTGCCGGTGCCTAGAGTAGCAGTGCCTTTCAGTTGCTCGTCGTGGTTATGATGCCTTCTTCGTTTGGAACGCGAAAGGTCCAGTCTACGCGATGCGTGAAGTCGGGCATCTCGGTTTAGGCACCGGGATGCTACGTATTTGTTGGGTTCGAACGAAACGCGCGCCCTGCTCCCCACGAAATTTAGCACAGACAATGCCTAGGTTTACAGCCGCAGCTTTAGACAAGTGGCCCAGAATAGTATCCAGGAAGATACAAGAGCCAATTTTCAATGGCGGTGTTTCAGGTGGCACTTCTTGGGTGCAGCAACGTGCACTTCCAAGGCTGTTGCGCCTCAGCCCACACCAAAAGGTGTGGTGCAGGTGAGCACCTTGAGAATGCAGGGCGTTAGTTCGCATCAACTCGAAAATTGGATTTGATTCTCAACGTTTACAGAAGTCACAGGGTTAGACTAGACGTGTTGAGGTTGGGCTCCATGGATATACACGAGACCGGACGGCAGTGTTGCCACGCAGGGTTTCGAATCACCTGGGATCGCCGGCGAACATCACCGTGCAATTCAATTTAGTCTCTGCCTCAGATACCTTTGGCTTGATGTCGTTGGGCGGCAGGCAGGCATGCAGCTTCGCAGGCCACACGAGTTCCACTGATAGATGGAAACCTTAACCAGTCGTCGCAGCCACACCTGACAGTCCAAGCCACAGCTTCTGCAAGGCCTGTGAAAGTTGACTTTCATCTTGAGGTAGCTGATTGCTCTGAGGCTTTCATAATGACTTCAACGCAAGGCGTCAAGTACTTCGTAGCAGGTGATTCGGCAGTGCCCTCGTGGTGGAGTCTGTGTGGCTCCGTGTTCAGAGTGCGACCAGTGCTCTATCAGCTGTTCATCCGTTTGAGTGAGGTCGGTTGGATTTCGGCTGCCGGCCCAACAGTGCAAGAGAACTCTTCCATGCTTTGAGATGTCATCACCTTGACTCAGACAAGCCCGTTGTCCTCAGGTTTTCACCCGGAATGGAACGCTGCACGGCAGGCCCGGGAACAGATGTGAGACATCAAACAGACCCAGGTGAACTGCACGCAGTCTGTGCAAAGCCGTCGAGTGGGGTTGAGAGCCCAAGGACTAGAATAAGGCCCAGTAGCGCACATCTTCCATGGCCTTGTGAGCAAAGCGGTTGCGAGACCTAGCGCTTTTTGATGATATTCATGTCGGTTTATATCTATGCTATACATCTTGCTAGTGTAACATGTCGACCAAGTACTTAGTTGGGTGCTCGAGGAACTTCTCAAAGCCGCATGCGGTGCAGGACGCGACACTTAAAATCTGACTCCCGACTTGCCTGCAGCCATGTATTGAAGAATCTCACACAAGCAGTGCCATGCTTCAATGGGCTACAGAAACTTCTGTCAACCGTCGTAGAGTGCACCTCGGTTGAAGATGAGCTGGGATTTCGACGAGCTGGACGGCCTTGAAGCCAGCAGGGCCTCTCAAGCGTTTATTGTCCCAAGTGGCGCGGCGCATTCACGCTCGGTGCTTGGGGGTGGTCATGAGCCTGAGATTGAAAGATCGCGTCGTCGTATTGAGGCCTCGATGCATGAAGGTTGGCAAAAGATTTTGGGCCTCAATCTACTGAAGACCGATTCCGCAAGCGTGAGGAAGGCCTACCATAGCCTGGCGTTGTTACATCATCCTGACAAAAGCGGCTCGCATGCCGACATTGAAACTTTCAAGATCGTGCACAAGGCCTACACCGATGCTATGGCAGCAGTGTCGTTGCAGGAGTCCACTTCTCTCACAGCTGGAGTGATGGGTACAGGATGCAGCTCATCCGACCACGGCAGAAAGTGGCCTTTGGGTTCTTCTTCCTCCAAGGACAGGTCCAGCTTTGAACACGGTCCCGCGCAGAGAGCTAGGGATTGCGCTCTTTTGTCAAGATGCCAGGAGCTGGTTCGTGCAGCAGTGGACGAATGGGAGCACGACTACGATGACGGCAACGTGAACTCCGTGCCCGATTGCATTCCTGAGGTTGAAGCCATCGAGCTTGCCAGCTGGCTCCAAGCCGGGAAATGTGTGGTGGTGGACTGCCGGGAAGCCATGGAGGCCAAATACGAGCGAAGGGAGCCGCTGATCCCGAAAGCGCTTCGCATCGGCTTTGGCGACTTGCGGGCCCTGCCGCACACTTTGCTGAACGATCTGTCCCAGCTGAGGCGCAGCGAATGCCACATCGTGGTGTTCTCCACCCATGGCGGAACAAGCGGGAACTGCGGCACCTTTGGCCCAAACTGGCTGAAGTAGTTTGCTGTGACGGGTTTGCAGGTGCCAACTTCTCCGCAAGTCAACAAATGCTGAGGTATGTGCGCTGCTTTGCTCATTGATCCGGCCTTAACGTTGCCTTTGAGAGTCAGGCGGTGGTGAATTGTGCATGGCATGCCATGCCCAAAATGAATTCGAAATTTGAAAAGCTCCTCATGTTGAGAGGGTTTCATGCCGATGGGCAGTTGAATTGTCGCCAATTTTCTTTAAAAAACTGGATTGCACATGGGAGGGAAGTTTGCAGGATGGGGCAAAGGCTGGCAAGTCATACTTGTACTTCATGAAGGAGTAGGCTCGCACGCTCACGGCAGATGCTGACTCATCGGCACTACGAAAGGCGAAGGCAGCAAGGCCACGAAGAGTCTGAACGCTTTGGTCGGCCTGGGTCCGAATACCTTGCCTGGACTTGCAAGGGGAATTTGACAACATAGCCTGAACACGTACTGCTTTTCTTGGGCAAAAGCGAGTATGGCAACTCTTGGCGGTAGCGGCTTAATTGCGGCATAGGTGCTGTTGCAGAAGAGAAGTGAACGTGCAGAAATCACATGGCACTCTGCAAGACTCCAGCTCTGAACGCAAAACGCTATGCGAAAGGAAGACCTCCACCATAGCGTACAAGAGTTATCTGAAACCGCTGATGTTGGTCCGAAACCTTGGAAAATCTCGGGCCAGTTAGGACGTCTTTGGATTCGATGCCTCGCGAATCTGGCGATTGGAAGAAGGTCTCGATGGATGGATCGCCTGGGCCGAACCTGGGCTGAAGCTGTGCTAGGACCACTACACTGTGGGCCCAGGGCAAACAAACTTTCTGACAAGCCGGACTCCCAAGACTTGAGTTTGTAGGACCCGCCAGGGGTGTTCTTTCAAGGGGAGTACTGGGGATGTTGGGAATCTTAGCTAGTCCAAGCAAGGGTCGTCCAACTGCTTGCTTCCTTAGTTCAAACTGGTAGGAAAAGGAAGCTGTGCCCCAACGAGAGAAAGAGAGAGAGAGAGGCAAGGGGGGGCAATCCTCTTGTCCCTAGCCCTGGCAAAAGAAAGAAAGACTAGACGCACAGACGCGAGCCATGGGGTAGGCCCTCGGGCCAGGGCCCAGGGGCTCCGCGCCCGTGTAAACAAGCAAGCAAGCAAGCAAGAAAGCAAGAGATACCAAGCGAGAGTTGCCGAGCATCAGTAGGTCAAAACCTCGGGGCCCCCGTCATCTATGGATGTCATAAAGGATGGAGGGAGCCTGTGCCTGAGGCAGCGAACCCTTCCAGCCAGATCAATTTGCTGTAGCGCATGATTCCTGCTTTGAGCAGTCGGCCCGCGTGCTTTCAGCGCCTGCAGCAAAATCGCTTTGTCTCTGCCGGGTGGTGGGAGACACATGCAGTGCCAACCCAACTCAATGAACTTGCAGGATTCGGGTCAGCAACAGCCTGCCCGTCCGAGCCCTACTGAAACGGTCCGGCGCAGCGGAGGTGCTTGCTTCAAATTTTAGAGGTGGCCGGCATCAGTGCGCATCTTGGAAATGTAGTGTATGTGGCCGGCCACCAGCGCGGCTCTCAGGTAGGTACGGTGCACACCATGACACAATCTAGTGTCTGAGTGCCAGGTGGGGGTTCATCGACCTGGAGAAAGCGACTGTTTGGCTGGCATGTTTCACGCTGTTCAGCGTACGGTCGGTCCGAGAAGCCTTGAGGCTCGGAACTTTATCTGCCACAAGTGCGCCTCTCTGCCTCAACGTGAACCCAGACTTGCTCATTCCCGTGCTTGAGACAGCCATCGTGAAGATCTGTCGGCGCAGTCGTACAGCCCTGCTAGCTTGTACGGCCTTGCGGGGGGGCAATCAGTGTCCTTGTACTGGAAGTCGTTCGACTCTTTGTGTCGTTGCTGTTGCCTGTGGAGCTGAGTGCGCGGGTTCGTGCAACTTGCGCCACCCATGAGTACGCTTGCTCCACTGCGAGCTTGGCAATTCTGCACTTCCTGCCATTGCCCGGCATGAACTGGAAGCCGTCAACTTTTAGCCTCGCTATCAACAGCCCAAACAGAGATTTCGGCAGGTACGAAACCTCGCTGGTCCATGCGGCTGTTACAGATACTGCTCTACAGCCGGGATCTGTTGAAATCTAAGTAAGCTGACAATCACTGTTCGTATGATCGCCCTCGGCTCACAAATGAGGTCTCGTGTCATTGCTGCAGATCAGGCACGGACGCCGTCTCGCAGATCATTCCATGAAGCATGATGGCTGCACGAGTTGTCCGAACTGGTTTCAGGATGGGACATTGTGGGTTTTCGCGACTCGCGACAAGAGAGACTGCAAGGTGCTGCATGCGAGGTAGTAAACCCAGCCACAGACACGAAAAGCATCCTTCAGGTGGAACATCGCTTTCCCAGAGGGGCAGCACGCACACCTTTGTCCTTGTCCTCGGTACATCTTCCGAGCTTATCGCACAATGGAAGACATTGAAAGTCCACTGTCTGTCAGCTAGTCAGTTCTGCAAATTGGTGGCAGGTTCGGGGCTTCGCTTTGGCTTTGGAAGCATCACGAACCTTCAGCGGAAGGTCAGAGGCCGCACTATTCTTGTGAGTCAAGCTCTTCCATGCCAGAGATCCTACACGAAAGATGGGCAGCATGTGAACGCTATTCTTGTGGTTAGCAGCATGGATTTTCGGCAGATGATCGCCTTCAACATGTCGCATGTGGGCAAGGGCCGCACGCTTAGCACACCCGCGGATCTGCTTTCTATTTCCAACCCACATTTGCAGTTGGTTTCATCGCGAGGTTGGGATGATTCAGTCAGCGGCTTAAGGTTGCAGCTGGGCAGGTATGTTTCACTGGCTCTCTTCGGCAAGCGACGAACTGCCTGTGGCACTCGCCACACCATTCGCGTTGGTGTAGGAAGCCCGACTACTGCACGGCTCCTTAGATTTCTTGGGCATATCCGAGAAGACGATAGATGAGTATGAAGGTAATTGCCATCGTGTTCGGGAACTTGCTAGGTGTCTGAAGAGCTCACCGTCTGTTGGAAGCCGGTGTGTGATGTCAAGCCGGGATGCGCACAGGCGATCTTATGTGATTGGCTTCAGAAGACCCACGATTTGCTTGGACAAATCCTGTCCAGAATGTGCTGAGCATCCGGCTCCTTCTCAGCCTTCGGGAAGTTGCCCAGGCTTACCCGCTCGTGGCAAACCAAAAGGCATCACAAAGCCCTAGGACTTAGCCCGGAAGCCTTGCCCAAGGCCCACTGGGAGGAACCTGGCATGTTGTGGCCCTCAACCCACGGGGTGCCGCATGGCTTGGTCTCTGCTCCGCCCCCACCAAGACCCGCAAGTTCTTTCAGTAGCACACGCGTTTCAACAGCACAGCTTGGCTTTGCGCAGTTGTTGTTGGTTGGTTCCTCGCAGAACGTGTCTGCCCGCTGTGATTGACAATGACAGCGACAAGATATCCTTTTCTACTGCAAAACCTGGCCACCACTGTCTAGCTTGGAATCCTAGCGCATGCCGCTTGAATGTCGCGTCTTCGAAGGTGTAGAATCACCAGAAAGTTGATCGTCCATCTTATCTCCGATCTGCCTCAGAAAGTGTTGTGTCTGGGTGCTTCACGTAGGAGGAGCGGCAGTGAAGCAAGCCTCTAACACAGCAAATCAGCGACTGAGACAATGCTTGGATCTCGCTTTCAGTCTCGTCAAAGTAGGTTCCTACTCTAGCATGCATCATCAAATTAGTTTCCTACGCTAGCATGCATCATCCTGCACCTCATGCAACCGAGGGGAGAAGGCAACAACCAGCAACGTGACACCACGCCGCCCGTCTCATTTGCACATCATACCCTCTATGAGTCATAGGGAACAGAGACGTTTCCCCAAAGACCACGTGCTTGTCTTTGATGGATCTCCGCGAGCATGAGTCCCATCTGTGCTGTCTGTATTGAATATCGTATATCCTGAAAACGCCATCTATGATTGATTGAGAGGCCCGGGATATGTCGCCCATTGCCTGGAGAAAAAGCAGCCGACCAGTTCGCGACTGGGTGTAGCTGCCGTGTTTGTGTTTGTGAATCGAGCACACATACTCTCAAATGCATCGATCGTCGCCGAGTTTCCTGACATCTGTGAGGTCGCACAGTAAGTGTAGTGTTCTTGCATTGGTGACCTGAGGGAAAGCATATGGGTCGTCCTTCTGAATCGCGCGATTTGAGTGAAAACCGTTTTGGCTGTGCTCCCGTATCCTCCTGAATCCCGCCAGCACGTGGCCCAAGCATTGCGGTCGTGGCCAGGACGCCGCCAGTACTTGTAGGAAGCATTTTCGGCGGCGTGGTCTTGCCAGTACTTTGGAGAGATTTTGTGACGGTGCTCCTGAATACGACCAGTGCTTGGAGTAAATAAAGTTCTTAGACGTGTTTAAGGGCCTTCACGGTGTAGGGTTGTTAGGGCGGACCTCTTCGGGTGTAGTGTTGTGCTCAGGGTTGCAGGGTTTTGTAGTGCCTGCCAGTGTATTTTTGTGTTCTAATCGGGGTTTGGGGTCATTAGGGGTATAGAAGAAATGATGTCCCGAGCGAGGTCGTTCGAACTCGAACGGCGTTTCAAAGTTCAATCCAAGTTCAAACGCTTGAAGTTGGAAGGATTCAAGCTTTCAAGGCCTCAAGTTTCGATAGGTGCTTGCGGTTCGAAAGTGCAGGCGTTATGCTTCGAACTTCTCAATCTCTAAACTTTCTTTCTTTGGAGCTCGACTCGCTGCTTCGAAATCAACCTCCAAACTATGGCAGCCGTTAGATTGGCGTAAGGTCACTTTGCGGCTGGCCGCAAAGGTCGAGAGTTTGACAGTTCGAAAGTGTGAATGTTTGAGAGATTTGGAGTTCTATTTTTTTGGTTTCAGGGCTGGAAAGTTTGAACGGCATGAGAGTTCGAGTGGAAGTCTCGACAGCTTCAAGGTTGAAGCGTAGCCCTTTGTCCAGGGGGGCGCCCAAAGCTTTGGATGCTCACCTACACGCCAAGGGCACATTGGATTGATTCGTGACGTGTGCAGCTTGAGGGGGATGGCTTCTTGCGCCATTTGGCGGAGGTGGCCCCTTACGAGCTGTCGGTGCGTGATGTGCATGAGTGTGGTGAACTCTAGAGTAACTAGATACCTCCTGTCTCCGTGCTTGCATCCCTTGCTTAGTATCCTGGCGAGGGATCGCCAGGAGAAGAGCTTTGGGTCAATGATGTGGGCTGTCTTGCCAAGTGTTCCATCCAACCCGCCGGACTGAGTACATATATCTTGCTCTTTCTGGTTGGGGGGGCGGGCCCGCGGAGAGCTGGGTGATGCATCAAGCATGGATGAGGGGGCCACGGTTGCGCCCTTAAGCCTTCGGGCCGGAGGGGCCGCTGTGTTGTAACAGGGCCGAGCCCTGGTCGGCCACACACACACACACAAGGTTCGAAGCGTGTCGAGTTCGAAAGTTTGACACAAGTTCCGGGGATTGTATAGGATTGCGAGTTCGAAAGATTGAAAGTTCGAAGGTGTCAAAGAATGAAAGTCTGAAAGGCCGGTCCCCTGTCTCAAACTCGCCGCCTCATTAAGTGATGGCGGTTGAGCTCACATTTTAGATCCGACCCCTCGTTAGACGGTGGCACCTGATCTCGCAGCTTGAGCCCGCCCACTCAGTAGGCGATGGCGGTTACTTTCCTGTGTCACATCGCCCTCTCGCGGCCGCACCTGCTCAGCCGGGCAGGTGGGAAAACTTCGGCGAGTTTTGTTCATCATGGTGGATCTCGTACCTTTGATCCCATCCCCCACCAGGCGATGGCGGCCGGTGGCGGTTGATCCTATGTTGTCCATATCTTAAACCTTAAACTCGACCCCTCGCTAGACGATGGCGCTTGATATGACATCTTGAACCCCCACTCCAACTCACCACCTCAATAGGCGATGGCAGTTGGTCCATTTTTCAAACCTGCCTCGTCGTTGAAAATTGTCTCAGCAGCAACAGACCGCAACAGTGTGGGAAATCATGAGCTGGCGTGTAGTCGTATGTGCAAACGAAATCGAACAAGACATTCCGTAGGAATTGAAGCAATGTTGAGGTGTTGGGAAGGCATTTCACAGTCGTTTACAAGCGGCGCTGCATTTCGTGAATAGCAGTTTCGAGTGGCTTTCTATTCATGCGTAGAGTTTGGCAGGCTTGGGTGCACATGTCTCATTTGGAGTCGCCCGTCCTGCCTGTTTTGGCTCAAGCCTTAGCAGTCGAGCCAAAACGGCAGGTCTTCTTTGGGAGTTGACCCTAGTTTCTTTGGGAGGTTCCCATGTCACAGGAGTCACCTGCTGTCCTTCAGTCGGTCACAGTCCACCCTGGGATCGGAGCTGATGTCCTTAGGGAGAGGAATCGCAGAGTGCGACTGGATGCGATCCTTGCTGGAAGAGGCTCATTTCGAGAAGCACACTCTGGACGAGGACAAGAAGTGGCGCGAGCAGTTTCGAGTCATCGTGACCATAGACGACAAGCGAATTAACGACCACACTCATAATAATGGCATCGTTGTCAAAGACAAGAGAATGGCCATAGACATGTTGTTGGTCAGGCGCGACGGGTCAACACGAGACAGATGGTGGCTGATCCCATGACTAGAGACCACCGCGGATCCCCGTTTTTCTTCGGTTCGGACCGGTCAGGTGAGTTGGTTGTTGTGCAAGAGCCGTTCTGTTGAGTGGCGCCAGGAAGAGCGCGAACTCAGAAAGAGAAGCAAGGTTTCAGGGGCTCAATGCATGAAGAAGGTGAGAATCTTCATGCCAGCATTGAGCCCACTTGTGGTGATCCGATGCCGAAGCACAGGGCTTAAGCTGCAGCAGAAAAGATGACCACTGTGAGCTGACACTCACAACAGGCGCTAAAGGACTCATGGTCATAAAGATCCAAGCTTTCCATACTGCAACATTTCTGCCAGCCTTAAGTTTGCATACGTCTGTTCGTTTCTTTGGGGGACTGCCTTGACACACCCTAGAAACCCTAAACCTCTTCACCCTAAACCCCCAAACCGTATCCCCCAAACCCCTTGACCCTAAACCCCAAACGCTTAAAGAGAACGTTCCACTGGGTATTCTGAGGCTCAAGATCCCTGCTCTCAATTCAGGACCTCCTAAACAAGAATAAAGAGCCCTAAACTGGCTGGCGGCGTCAGGGTCTAGGAGGTCCTGAATTGAGAGCATGTATCTTGAGCCTCAGAATACCCAGCGGAACGTTCTCTTTAAGCGCTTGGGGTTGTGTATGGTTTAGAGTCAAGGGGGTTTACGGTTTGAGGTTCTTTATGGTTTAGGGCTTAGGTTTTTTATTAGGTTTTTTACGGTTTAGGGTTCAGGGTTCTGTATCGTTTAGAGTTTGTTTTGGTACTCATATTCGGGCACCCTCGGAAATTCTATCATTGAATATACAACCCGGTCCCTATATTACTGCTCGTGAAGTTCATTACAGTTGAGGATGGTTCACCGTAGGTGAGGGTTTGCGGGAGAGTTCGACAGTTCTGTCCGAACCCCGACAGTCTTGTTAAGATTAAGGGTTCAAGGCTGAGGGTCGAAACCCTTCACGCAAGTACTTTTCCTACGCTCAGATTGCCCGGCACTATTTTCCTTCCTCTGTGCCCTCCCCGAAGAATACTGTCTCCTCCCTCCCGACCGCAAAGCAAGGCACGTTCCGCATGCTCAGACTGACCGGCACTATATTCCTTCGCTTGCAATTGCCGAGGCACATGTGTCTTGGCAATTGTTAGCAGCGGCGCACTGTCTTTTCCTTCCCGGCCGCAAAGCAAAGCCTGCTTCGCCCGGCGCCATGTTTTTCTTCGGTGCCCCTATGTGCGTTTTGGAAGGCTGCATTTCGTACGCTCAGACGGCACAGCGCTATTTTCCTTGCTTGGTGCCGCGCTCCCCGAAGACTACTTTTAAGCTGCTGAGGCACAAAAAGTTACAGTGGCGGCGCACTGTCTGCTCCCTCGCGGCCGCAAAGCGACTGCACGGCGCTATTTTCATTCCTCGGTGCGCCCCCCGAAGATAACGTTTTAATTGCCAAGGGCCGCAAAGCTACGTACGCTTCGTGCGCTCAGACTGCACGCCGCTAATCTATTTCCCCGGTGCGCTCCCCGAAGACTACTTTTAATTGCCGAGGCCATCAGTTACAGTAGTGCGCACACATCCCTTATATTTCCGCGACACCGGTCCCAAAATTTAGTTACCGACCTTGGCCTTACCAGATTGCAAACCCCAAGCGTACCCACTGTTGGGGAATAAGGTACATATAAACTTGCTTCAAGTAGGATGTTGTTAAGGCCTTGATTAGGCTCTTCTGGCACCCTTAGCTCCAAACCCCAATTCCCACACACATCGTGCGCGACAGCCCAAAAACTCCCATACTCAAGGTATAGACCCTGAATGCCAGATAGCACGTCACATGCTCAAAGCCTCAAATTGCACAGGTTCAAACTCAAATCTTTCGTGCTCCGAATTTTCAAACTCTGAAGCATTGAAGCGTTCGAACTCTCAACCTGCTTGTCTTTCAAGCTTTGAAAATGTTGAAAATGTGGAAGACTGCCGGTTCAAACTTTCAACCTTCGAACCGCTCGAACGGCAAGCTTCCGAAGTCTCGTGCTTTCCATCAAGCTGTCAAACTCCAGCCGTTCAAACTCGGCCCTGGGAGGCGCCCAATGTACCCACCTGCGTCCTCCACCTCACGTCCGTCGCAGGGCACACGTCGCCGCGGCTTCAAACTTTTGAACTGGATTCCGGATCGAAGGTTCAAACTACAAACTCGGGTTTGTTTTCAATCTCCAAGCATTCAAACGTTCTTGTTAGTGGCTGCCGAGTGCGAGTGTGCGAGTGGAAACTTGTCAGTCTCCTAACTCTTGAATCTCCCCAATCTCGCTCGCCACTTGGTTCTTGCATACTTTCAAAGACTCGAGATCGAGAAGTTCGAAAAACCTTACTCGTGCCGCCTATCGTTTAGACGGGTATTCCCGACATTTATATATATATATATGTATATATATATAATTGGTTTCCCAGTATTTCTGGTCCAAGCAAGGCCCAACAAAAACCCTCAAACCGGTTGGAATTCAGGGCTTTCTAGCGGCGAGGCTATTTCCTGGTGCACCCCGGTTTTAGCTGCTTCCCGACCCCAGCTACCATCTCTCGTAGCACCACAGCTGCTATTCCGAGCTCTGGTCGTGCGGAGGCTGAGCTCATCGCAAGCGTCATCGTTGGTGTTAAGCTTGCACTTGTTGGAACTTCAAGCCGGCCCTACTGTAGGCCAACAGGTTTGAACTGACATTGGCGAGCTTTTGTTGGATGTCTTCGCCTACGAGTGGGAAGCGCTGTGCTGCCGAAGGCTAGATTCCATGCCGGCTCTAGTCTAGGCGAGGTGCCCTGGAGCGGTGAGGACGTTGAGGCGGGCTGAGGGCGGTGTGGACGGTGGGGTGGGGGCAGTGGGGGCGAAGCGCTGAGGACGGTGTGGCCAACTTTTAAGCCTGTGAATGCTTCTTCACGGGAAGAAGGCAAGAGCAGAGCCCCGGAAAAAAACAAAAACAACTTTCGGGATTTCACACAGGCACCGCCCCAACGGGGGTCGGCGGATAAGGATCGAGGATACCTTCCTACACCATGTGCCTAGCTTCGAACCGGACAAGCCTCGCCTTTCTGTCGATCGGTGGGAATTGGGTCGGGGACCCGCTACTAACCCTAAACCAAAACCCTGATTTACCCTTAAGACCATGGGAATCCCCCTATACGATGAGCCCGGCGTTGAACCTTATGCCGTCGACGGTTTAGGGTTTAGGTACAAGCTCCGGGGCTGCTTGATCCAACTCCGGGCGAAGTGGAAAGCCTGTTGCAAAAAGGTACAAGCTCCGGGCGAAGTTTAGCATGTGATCTGGCGTCAGGTTTGGGGTATGCGTCCAGGGTTGACGGGCTTACGGCTTACGGCTGAGATTTCAGGGGACTTATTTGGAGGTGGGACTGCGTTCGGGACCAAAACATGCATGAGCCTAGTTGCGAAGACGTTGTCTATCTGGTAGTTCATCCAGTTCAGCAAACCATCCGTTATCTCTTCTGGAAATTCAAGGTGGGCGTTGAACGCAAAACTCGCAGAAGCACACACACACACACACAGCGTCCGGGCCCTCACCCCCATGTTTTATCCAATTTTTGCGACAGTCTTCCTTGTCGGAATTGCAGTTCCCGATTCCCGAATTTGATGCCTGAGTTGGGCGCTTCCCCCAATCGGTTGATTCCGGATAAGAACGGGTCGTTTGTTGCTTCAGTTTTTGTTTCACTAGACTGTGGATTGTTTGCACGCGTCTGCACACATGTTTGGGGGCGTTCATCTGCTTGACGGAGAAGAGCTAAGAGTCATGGAGTCGTAAACATAGATGATGTCTTTCATTGAGTAGCCCACATGACCGCTTGCCAGGCAGTTCAGCGCCGATACCAAGAAGGCAGTTGCATGCTTTTGCTTTTGTTTGCTCTATGTCTTGTACAACAGAAACTAAGCTCAGAGCAGCTGAGCACAACTTTGGCGACAGGAGATCTCCTCGCAATGCTTTCGCAGGACGCTTTCCTCATGGAGGCTAAAACCTTCCATGTTGCCAGTGCACAGATCCCGAGGATGGCACTGAAATTGAGATCTTCGAGCTGATGATGCACGGGCCTGTGAAGTCTCCTTGTGCTTGCTTGAGTTTGAAGAATAAAGTTGGCTTCGGCTGTAAGTTTCAACCCTTTAAACGGGAAGGAGATTTGTTGAGCGTTGTATTTGGGAGTCTGAGGCAAAGAGGCAAAAGTACATGTGAGAGGAAATGTTAATGTGCTGCGACTTGTCTTCAGTAAGCACGATCAAACCCAATCGCCCCAAACTATGAAGAAATTTTTACCGTTTTGTGACATGAGGCAAGTCTACCAGCCACCTCCGGGCGACTTGTTGGGGAACTTCAAGCTCCCGGTCTTTGCAACCTGCTTGCCTTGTTTGAGCCAAAATTCTGAGAAGTCCACCGGCTGTGTTAAGTGTCGCTATCGCAAAGCTGAGGCAGCAGCGATGATTCTGGTCATGGGTGGCGCCCACAGAGTCGCAAAAATCCGGAGGAAGCTCTCTCTGTTGCAACTGCAAAATGGCCCAGGATATCAGTTTGTCAAGCAGAAAGGCCCCTTCGACCCTGGAGCTGCTGATCCCTCGCTGCAGTTAAAGTTCTGTTGCTTGACAAAATCGTGGACATGTGAGTGGTGGCGAATTCAAGGCTGCCTCGGCTCAAGTGTGCCAGGCAGAATTTGCAGCCATGGGGTCCGCGTGTTCTGTTGCGGTTGCGGGAGCAGTGCCTCAGCATGCAGTAGGTTCCTGGCACATGACGAGAGTTCAGGACTCCCACTGAAAGCATAACAACGCCACCTGTGAGCCCAATCACTGTTTAGCAACAGTTCCTGCCTGCATTTTGAGCTGGCCTGGGCTTCCGGCTTGGGCCCCAGATGCAGATGAGTATGAGACTTACCGAAGGTAAAATCCTGCTCCCTCGATGACCTCCAGACTGCAATGGAGCATCTCAGCAAAGAGTCGCGCAGCAAGCTCGTAACAGCCTCTCGCCCAAGTCTAGCCAGAGCTTGGCGGCTGGATCGAGAGGTCATGAGCACTGCTTGCTTTTGGTTTCTTTCGTGCAGGCACTGGGAAATCCTGGAAGCTCGGTCAAGGCATCTCAGTTTAAGATAATCAAAAGATCCCGTTTTGCACGTGTGGCAGTATTGATTTGCCAAGGCTTTGCCTGTCACAAGCTCGGCTGCCATCTTGACTGGATTTTGGAGACAGAAACTAGGGCAAGAAGGATCTGCTCACATTCCTATCGTGAAAGCAGCAGACATTGCCATCGTTTCCCGCTCGGAGAAGAAGTTCGACGGAAAGGGTGGGCATGAGCCTTGGTTTGGACCCACGGCTTTCACGATCTTTGGAGAGCGGTGGACACTAGACAACTTCCTGGGAGCCGGGGCTTTCGGACAGTCTTATTTGGCAACCCACGAACCTACGGGACATCGCTATGTTCTGAAGTTCCTCTCGCGAGATAACGACCGCGAGCTCAGCTTTCTTCGACAAGCGCCATTTCAGGTCTTTCAACATCCGAATGTGATCAGCTATGTCGGCATCGCCACACACATCGGTCGTGGGTCTTCGTCATGGGACCCCGCCAGACACATCGTCGTCATGGAGGCTATTCCCAACGGTGAGTTGTTTGACTTGATCACTGCTGAGGCTGCGGCATTGAGTGACGGGACAATGCGGCGCTTAGTGCACGACATCATCAATGGGATGTCGGAGTTGTGCAAATGTGGCATCACCCACAGAGACCTCAAGCACTTTGGCTGCGACGGTTTGTGTTTGCAGCTGACAACATTTATGTGCATGTCCTTCCTGCCGTTTGGGATGCCAAGCGCCAGCACCGAGTTTTCGCTTGCACTGCGCGACTGAGGCCGGACAACCTCCTTATCGACGAGAACGGTCACGTTGTCATTATCGACCTGGGCTGTGCAAACCTCGTACACTGGCTTCAAGAAGAAACCCAAGAGCACAATGAAGAGAGGTCAGCATCACCAGTGCTCAAAACACAAAGCTCCAAGTTCATGAGAGAGCAAACTGCGGCCGTTGGGACAGACCTGTATCATGCACCTGAATACGGACAGAAAATGTACGATAGTGAGAAAGCTGATGTATTCACTGTCGGGATATTGGTTTTCCTCTTGAAGCAGCCCATCCCGCCTTTCCACCCATATTTCGGAGGCTTGAAAGTCCTCACAGACGATGGGGCCAGTTCAAAATGGTGGGACCGCAAGGAATTTCAGCAGTTTGCCGAGGCTTCTGAGCTCAAAGCTCTTATCAACTGTTTATGGGCACGGAGCCCAGAGAAACGTCCAACCTTTCAGCAGCTGCAGGCTGCCATGGCAGGTGACGAAGACGTTCTCAAACACTTTCCTGCTTTGGCCTGGTTGTCTGGAGACTTATCAGGGCCGCTGGACTTTGTGCGAGAGCTTCGCGAGCGGCGCCCAAACCTGTCGTTGAAGTGCACTGGTGTAGTGGAGGCACTGGCCTTGTACGTTCGGAACTTCAGCAATGCAGAGGATGCATTCCGTTCGGCAAATGCTAGCAATAGCGGGTGCCTTTCAGCTGCTGAGCTCACGAGGAGTTTACAACACGAAAATTCAACGATCACTCCCGAAGGAGTGGCGGAACTCATGCGCCGCTACATGTCCCGTGAAGCGCACGACATGTCCCTGGATCAGTTCAAGGTTATGGCAAAAGCCTGGGAATTCGGAGGCAGACCGATCGTGCATGATGTTGGACGGATGAACTCGCGGCACTTCGCTTTTTCTCCTCGGGACGGTGGTGCGGAAAAAGAGGAAATTGCAGCATTCACATCAAGTATTTCCGATGCATTCAGTGCAGCCGGGTACAGAGTAGAAAAGGTGTCGAACGTCATTGATGCAAAGAACTTCGACAACTCCGCCGCATTCACCGTCACAATGGGCAGGGGCACTGAACTCTGCCAGCTGCGCATCAGTACCTTTACCATGGACCACAAGCTCGTGGTCCAAAGTCGACGGCTCTGGGGCTCGTCGGTGGAAGAGATGTTGATGTTGCTTGTACCGAATTGTAAATCAATGATTTCGTTTTGTTTTCGCTGCTGCAGCTGCATCGGCAAAGTTGTGCTCAGAGCAACTATGGCTTCTCTATGTGCCCGTTATGCAGAGAGTGCCCACGGTGTCAGCTCATTTCCTTTCGGATCCTTGGCACGCTTGGTGTTTTTGCTTATGAACTGTGTAGGTGATGTGCCATGTCGTGATGTTAGGCTGCAGCAGATGAACAACGACTTGGTGAAGACTTGGGGCGCCCGCGTTCAGCCTCCAGCAGACTTGCTGTCCCCCAACTAGGGGGATGCTTATGCCACGGCGAGCTGCAGGCGTATGCTCTGGTCTGCTTGCTTGACGTGTTGCATGTGGTGCAGTCACGGAATACCCGTGACGCTTCTCTCAACACCGGTCTCACCCTGGCCTGAAGTGGCTTGCCTGGAAGGCTTGTGGACAACCCTCTATAGGCCTGCATCGGAAAAAGAGCTATTCGCGAAGTGGAGCATACTTCGAATCATGGGCATCAGGAAGGAGATGGCTGACGTCTTGATGTTCACGCTGGTGGGAGTGTCGGAGGTGCATTGCTCTCTTCATTCGTCTTGTTCGTGTAAGGGTTTTCGCATCGCACGGCGGGCTGTCTTCAGGTATGCTGACTTGAGTGAAGCAGGTTGACCACCCGCTTTCCAAAGAGCCAGCGAAGCTGCAAAAAGGTTGACTTGAAGTGCTGTGCTGAAGATTCCAGAAACTTCCAGGAAAGCCTTGCAAGCAATTTCCAAAGAGGGCCGTGCTTGCTGTGGCTGGAGATGCAGGAGACAGAGGTTTCAAACGAGGCTGTCAGCAGACGAGACATGGGCGCTTGACTATATAAACATGACAATATGGAAACAACATGACCCGCCTGGAATACATCGGCCGTTTTTCTGTCCCCTTGCTGCCACTCCGGAGAATGAAATGCGCGGCTGTCATCCAAACTCTGATGGAGTGTAGTTGGCCTCCCTGGTTGTGTTTCGTCCATGGGTTCGGCGCGAGATCGAATGGAGTTTAGCAACCACAGGTTGATGGCTGATTGCCAAGGAGGACATCGAATGATTGCTGAGCATGCTGCACCTTGAGATTGCTTGTGCAGTCCGCTTGACCAAATGGTTAGGACCCTGAGCGCAGCTTCCATAGTAAGGCTGGAGCCGAGGAACCGAGCATGCGCCTAGATCGTGTACCGTGGCTTGATGGATGACGGCATCGCTGCTGTCCAAACCACACGCAGAACACCGTGACAGAGACAGGTGTTCAACCTAAGGGTTGTGGAAGACTCAAGATTCGCACTTCCCTTAGGATCTGGTTGCGGCATTGTCTGGGTCTTCACAGCTGGGCGATAGTGGCAGTGAATGCGGATGCTTGGGGGGCAAGAACGAGTTGTTATGGGAAGGAGAACTTTATCCAACGAGCTTCGGTTGGGGCCTCGGGCTTCAGCTGCTTTGAAGGGACTCCTTCTCAGGGTGCATAAAAGCTATGTAACACACTCCTGGCGGAGCAACCGAGCATGCTGCTAGATAGAACGCCATGTCTTAAGCTTGAACTTACATGCACATCCCCAGCAGTCAATAGTCTGTCGAGGAACGGTGAGGAAGGGTTTGTCGTTATTTTGAGACGTGGGAGGCAGCAGTCGGCTTCAACGAGGCTAAGCCTAAGTAAGCAGTGCAAAATCTTCAAATTGCCTAGTAGCCCGTAACTGATGGTTTGATGAAGCCGACAAGATTTGTGGATATCGAAACTTGGAGGTGGAAGAATGTTGTGTTGGGTCTACCATGCCACACGGTTCAACTAGCAGAATTTCAGCCTGCTGCTTGTCAGAGCCTCAAAAGCAGATCTCCAATCGTCGGGCGGTGTTGAAGGATGTATGACAGTGTTCACTGTCATCTGGGTTCCAAGCTTGCAGTCCTTTCCAGGCTTCTAGAGCTTTCCACTGTAGCATCCTTTGAAGTCATGCCTGATGGTGGCACAGCAGGCTTCAAGTTTTGCTCTGGGCGGGACTGCCACATGAGGGGGCATGGGCCGTATGGCAAGAGGCTTGACCCAAGCTCTTCTACTTGCTGGGTTTCAAGGTGCACAGCTCATTTGTAGCAGTATTCGATGTACTGAACAAGTTGAAGCCGCTGACGGAGGATGCCTCGTGCCTGTGGGAGGACCGCCTGTGCCCGTGCTGTGAATGTGAGCTCAGAGGTCTTGTTGGTTGGGAGCTCCAATGGCAGTACATGTTGTTGTTGCAGCAGTACTTTCCTGTTGATGCAGGAATTCAGTATATTCGATTGTGTGCATGGAAGGTGGGGGTTGTTGAAGGAGGGGATCGTCATCTTGGCAGTCCAGCCAATAGGACCTGAAAGGGCTCAAGAAGCAGAAGGGTGCTTACAACGGAGATCAAGATGCTCCACGTAGGAACGGCATGCTACTGCCATGAGTCTCGCGAACAGGGGACCTGGACCACTGTGCAACTTTCAGTCACGTTTCAAAGAGCTTGGCTGTACCCCCAAAACTACAACCCTTGAGGGAATAGAACAGGAAATCATGGTATAGAGCCCCAAAATGAACACGCGTTGGCGGCGACAAGCATGGCGCAGGACTGGCAGAGTTGATATTCGTCCATAAACAGCTTGGAGGATTGGGGCTCTGGTCAGAAGGACCGCACTGTGCGTCAATCCACTCCTGCAAAAGGAGATTTGCAGCAATCCCAGCAAAGCTTCAGACACACCTTCAATAAGCCCAACCCCGAAACCTAAAATTGAAGCCTCCACCCGGAACTCTAATCACAAGCAGACGGAAAAGAGTCCTTAAAATACGCAAATCTCGAAGCAGCAGCCCTTAATTCCGACGTTCAAAGCAACAAAGGCGCCTGAATCAGCTACAAGCCGCAAGAACTCTATAACTCCACATCGTTTCACTTTGCTGGCGCCGCCCTCCACCCTACACCCTGAATCCTGAATGTCGCCACACCCTAAGTCAACCCGTGACGTGTCTCCAACCCTTGCAAGCAGCGGACACCCGTGCAAGTTCTTTTGCACCCCGAGCGTCCGAGCGTGTCGGACCGGGGTTCCGGGCCAAGCAAGCCGCGTCCAGGCGAAGGCCATGGAACGCCTGCGGAGGGTTTAAGTGAATTGGCTACGTACGGGCTGCGAGGGTTTTGTGGAATGATGGTATGGTATCCTTGTTGTTTAAACATCTGTTAGGTTCAAGTGTCGGGAGGGAATTATTGGTTTACTAGCGATGTTGTTGATGGTCTGTTTCTGCCTGTCTTGTTGGTGAAGTTGATATGTTGGGCTCTGCGGGGGGCGGGGTGATCGGGATGTTTTTTTCCGGTGGTCTTCCGTGCACTGGTGTTGTTGGCAAAGAAGTGGTGCCAGGACACTTTCAGTTAGCCACCCGTCCTCTCATAATCCGGCACGAAAGGCAGCTCAGCTGGCCCCGGGTCGGTAACCACTCCGAATACTGGATTGTGGGAGATGGGTGGGGCTGGACCTCGCGGTTGGCCGTGCAG